AAGACGACCATCAGATTGATTGTTATTATTTATGTGAGTAATTCTGTTACTTAGCACTGATTATCATTTTTAATATAGTCCACCTCTCCAGAGAAGTAGCTGGCTATGGTGTCCCACGGATTTGGAAGATTATCATTGGTCACATAAACCCAGCCCACATTCTGCTGGTAAGCACGATCAATAACATCTCCATAGTCAAAGCTTGACACATTCACATCCGTGACATTGTAGAACAGGGCATAAAAGTTATACCTCGAATACTTGCTCGTCCAGGAACTCTGAGTCATAGACAGCCCACCAACACCGCTCTCAAAAATACAAATCACATCGGCTACCCGAGAACCATTATAGAAGAGGTATGTCTCCAGGGTTGGAGCTCCGGGATTATTAACCACTAGAGAACTCGAATTCTTGGACTTCACGTAGTTGTAGAGGCTTTGATAGTAAGGCTGCTTCCCGTCTGTGTTGGCAACTTCGTCGAAGAAAATTCCATTGATAGTTGGATAGAAGCTGTACCACCTATCGACATCGTCTTGGACCAAATTGGAAGCTCGGTTGCTGTAATTAGTCGAGACATAGCCGATAACCAGGCCTGTTTGGCTCTGGAGGGCCGTAATAACATTCTGGTAGCTTGATTGAGCTGCAGAGCCTGGACCATTGGACGGATTTGCGATTGCTACGATCCGGTTTGGTAGCGTGGTGGCAGCAGAATTGAGAGAAGACCATGCCTGGGAATTTGAAGAAGGATCGAAGTAGGCCGGTACCATGATCCTCATTTTTTCACATCTTTGGGACCACACTAACTGGCATGCAAGGCTGAGCACCTGGAAGAACAAGAGAGCAAGAGAAAGCATGGTCTTCAGGATTTTCCTGAACAATGAGCTTCAAGGTCAGGGTAAGATGGCTTAAGAACTCGACCACGAACTTACTGAGTAGTTTCAAGCAGGACAGCTGTCATTGAACTTATGGCTCAAGGTACGTAAGATTAACGGCAACTTTTAAGTCAAAGCCGTTACGTAAGCAAGACCAAACTTCGCAGCGAACATGATAGCTACACAACATCGACGTACCAGCAGTTCATGCATTGCTAGCAAAACACAATAAAAACACCATATAGAGAAAAGGAAATGTATTACCTTACCGGTAGCTCAACTGCAGATGGATCAAAGCCCATACTAAAAGAATTCTCCGGAACATAGCCTGGCAGCCAGAACCTTGAAGAAAACTACGGTACAACCGAGAAAGATCCTTCAGCGTTTCTGATTCTCCATCTTGAGGGCTGGTGCTCTCCTATTCTCCACCGCGGCGGCAGCCTCGTTGGTGGCATCGCTCGCTCGCCACAATCAAATTGCGTACCTGCCAACCGAAATCTCGTCAGATAATCTTGAATCCACAAATACGATCGCGGCACACCTTCCATCCAGAGGGAAGCTTCCCCGGTCCCACAAATGGCTCAATGTCCTAGTCATAGGCGTCAGCCACCATGTCAGATCCCTCATTAGAAAAGTTGACAAGCCTTTTGAAAATATAATTGTCTTTAAGCAGGGGCACCAAAGATCAAGAGTGCAAAGTGTGTAAACAGTTTATGAATAAATGAAGATCCAAGATTTCCCCTTGTTCTCCAGGTAAGCGAGATTTTCTTTTCTTTCTATTCGTTCTTATTGATTTTTTCAATTAATTCTAGCAATATCTTCTCTGGAAGGTTTTTCTCCTCCGAATCAAAATCTAAATGGTAAAACTTCATGTTTTGCAAATAGAGCTGGAAAACAATAGCAATGCATCAGCTGTCATGGTTTCAGGCTTTGTTGGACATCAAGAACATCCCTAGGTGTTGTTCTGCATTGAGTGCAAGGTGCCACTCAGCCAAGAATGCAGAGATGATCAAGGGACTTGCAACCACACAAACACTTCGCAGATCTCTGTCCTAGGCCACCTTTCCACACTCAAAGTGTGCAATGTGAAGTGGCTCATCGATACATCACATTTATCATCAATAATAACCTAATCTTGTATTTCCATGCCAGAGTCTAGTGCCAAGGAGAGTTTGTTGGTTGCGTTATAGCATGATTTCTTCTTGGCAAGAAGTTATGGCTCACTCCCTTACTAGACATATAGTTATCTTATTTTCATTGAATAGATCTTGACATGAAAAATGTAGATAATTGCCATGGCAATAGAAAAAAATTGATTGTTGTCCTCTTTTTGATTCTGTCCTATATATAATATTTTACTTGAGTGAATTTAATTTTTGTCCGGCAGTCCCTGGCCATAAAACAATTATAAGTAAATATGCAACAACTAAATATGAAACTAAATGTCCAAATTATGTAAACATAATATGCAACTAAATGTCCATATAGCTTTGGTCTTTCTTATGATGAATCTAAAGTTATTTTAGCATCTAAAAAACAAACAGATAAAAAACTTTAAGTTCTAACTTAATATCCCAATATAGAAAACTTAATGTTCACATATTTAGCATGCTAGAAAAAGAACCCTAAACCCTGAGAAGCAATTAAGAAAATTAAGATACCTCCAAAGCTAATCCACTACTAGTTATGTGGACCAATATACCCTCAGCAACCTGATCCAGGCAAGAGAAATCAAAAACCCTAGCAAGGATAATGTGGCAAAGAATGAGTGGGGATGATGCATATAGTGCCAGGGTGATGTATGGGCATGAGCATGAGGGGCATTGATTAAAAAGAATATTCTACTTGGGACATTTAATTCACACTTTGATCATTCACAAGATTGTGATATATCTTGCCTAGTTATACCTTCCCTTTTGGGAGGTATACCTTTCCCCTAATACCTGCAATCACATATTGCTTGCCATACCAAATGACTAATATATTTTCATTACACAAGTTTTTCAAATAAACTTTTATATAGAATAATTAGTTTAGATCACATCAAATCACATAATCTATTTTCATGTTTATTGCTGCTACCTATAATATAAATTTCTAAGCATAGATCATATTCAATTTTGACAAATTTTTTATGAATATCACCATCCACCACTATATAATAATACTAGAAATCTAAGAAATAATGACCTGTGCCGATTTAGTTTAGTTATAACATTTAAGCTAAACATAGGTTACAAGTAAGTAAATGCATTTGCCTAACTCCCGCTCATGCATTAAAATCTTAAAATCTTCTCTATCATTCGGTTGCATTCGTGCAATTCGGGCCACCTTGCGAGGCTGAGCAAACGGTGACGAAATGTTCCCGTCCTGAGCCTGATCGACTTGGGGTTGCTGCAGATGCTCAAGCTCTCCTTGGCACTGGAGTTTACAGTAAAGCGAGCTTTGTGCAGGACCCTCCTGCAGTGGCGGCAGACTACTGAGTTTGGTTGCACGGAGATACAAGATCGGGTTTCTGTTGATTCTAAATGTTTCCAACCCCTATGTATCGATGACCCGTTTCGCATCGCACACCTTGATTGCCAAAAGGCGGCCTGCGACTAAGATCTGCAAAGTGTTCATGTGGTTGCAAGTTCCATGATCGTCTCTGCATTCTTGGCTGAGTGGCACCTTGCACTCGATGCAGAACAGGTTCTTCTGGGTGTGGAACTGGAGTGGCGTTGGAGGATAATTTAGGTAACCTGGGGCACGAGTTCTTGGGCAGCCATGAATTTGCCGAGCATTGGCTATGGCAGCGCAGGAGTCCCCAGACTAGATGCTCAGACGAGGCGTCTCCCAATCAAGGACATCTCCATCCTGGAGGAGAGATTGATCCAAAGCTGGAGACCACGTTGTACACCAGTGCTATCGCAGTGCACAATGCCTCGCGCCAACAGCAGTCATCCAATAGAAGAAACTATCATGATAAAGCAAGAAAAGAAAATCAGAGAGATTTAGCATACCTTTAAGTCAACCAGCTTAAATAGTGCCTGTCGACGAGTTTGGAGCTGGGCGGGCTTGCGCTTGATGGAGGCATAGATCACGACTGACCATTCTGGAATGCCTTGGAGGCCGACCGGGCTTGCGCTTGGGAGGCATCATTTCTGGAGCTGGCCCCTTGCGAATTCCTGGCGGGAATCACGGCGCCTTGAAATAAAACCCTGGAGGTGGCATTTGCATGAATCACCGGAGCGATGGCGCGTAAAGAAGCGATGGTGAGGGTTTCTCAGAGTGAAGGTTCGATAAAGAATCTGGACGCGCTGCAAGCTATTTGGTTTTCTTTTGGTCTATAAGCGAGAAAGAGTTTCAAAGATGGAGGGCACGAGTTCTCGTCGTGGGAGCCGAGCATCTGCTATGGCAGCGCAGGACTCCCCAGAATCGTCAACCAAAGAATCGTCACCAGGCGCCTCCCAATCAAGGTCATCCTGGCGGCGCTCCAGCGGCCCCGGGCCTCGTCCGCGAGGCGGTGGAGCTTTTCTTCCACCGCTGCGCCGCCGAGCTCTCCCAGAAGCCCGCCAGCTCCATGCGACGTCGTGCTCCACACCACGCTGCTCAACATGTACGTGGCCGGGTTAAGGCCCAGAAGCTCTTCGACAGACGCTCGAGTCCAACAACATCACCTTCTCGGCCTACGCTAGAAACGGCCACTTTGGCATGGAGCATCGAACAGGACGGCTACAAGCCCGACAGCGTCACCTTCACGCACGTCCTCTACGCTTGCAGCCATGGCGGCTTCGTGGACCTTACAGCGACGCTGGGAAGTGGGACATGGCCGCCAAGGTCCACAAGTTGATATCAGCGTGACCGGGCAATAAAGAAGCCCGGCAGCAGGAGCTGGATCGAGATCAATGGCAAGATGAACGAGTTCATCGTCAGCGATTCCTGGCACACGTACCTCGCCCAGATCTGCCAGAGAAGTGATGAAACAATACGTCTACATACCTGATACAAAGAAAAGGCTGCATGACGCCGAAGAGGATGAGAAGCAAGACATTCTCTACTTCATAGCTAGAAGCTGGCCATGGGGCAAACTCCTCCAAAGACGACCATCAGATTGATTGTTATTATTTATGTGAGTAATTCTGTTACTTAGCACTGATTATCATTTTTAATATAGTCCACCTCTCCAGAGAAGTAGCTGGCTATGGTGTCCCACGGATTTGGAAGATTATCATTGGTCACATAAACCCAGCCCACATTCTGCTGGTAAGCACGATCAATAACATCTCCATAGTCAAAACTTGACACATTCACATCCGTGACATTGTAGAACAGGGCATAAAAGTTATACCTCGAATACTTGCTCGTCCAGGAACTCTGAGTCATAGACAGCCCACCAACACCGCTCTCAAAAATACAAATCACATCGGCTACCCGAGAACCATTATAGAAGAGGTATGTCTCCAGGGTTGGAGCTCCGGGATTATTAACCACTAGAGAGCTCGAATTCTTGGACTTCACGTAGTTGTAGAGGCTTTGATAGTAAGGCTGCTCCCCGTCTGTGTTGGCAACTTCGTCGAAGAAAATTCCATTGATAGTTGGATAGAAGCGGTACCACGTATCGACGTCGTCTTGGACCAAATTGGAAGCTCGGTTGCTGTAATTAGTCGAGACATAGCCGATAACCAGGCCTGTTTGGCGCTGGAGGGCTGTAATAACATTCTGGTAGCTTGATTGAGCTGCAGAGCCTGGACCATTGGACGGATTTGCGATTGCTACGACCCGGTTTGGTAGCGTGGTGGCAGCAGAATTGAGAGAAGACCATGCCTGGGAATTTGAAGAAGGATCGAAGTAGGCCGGTACCATAATCCTCATTTGTTCACAGCTTTGGGACCACACTACCTGGCATGCAAGGCTGAGCACCTGGAAGAACAAGAGAGCAAGAGAAGGCATTTTCCTATTCATGATCTTTAGGATTTTCCTGAACAATGAGCTTCAAGATCAGGGTAAGATGGCTTAAGAACTCGACCACGAACTTACTGAGTAGTTTCAAGAAGGACAGCTGTCATTGAACTTATGGCTCAAGGTACGTAAGATCAACGGCAACTTTTAAGTCAGCGCTCGTTACGTAAAACCTCGTGATAGCTACACAACATTGACGTAAGGAAATGGGCCAGCAGTTACTAAAAGAATTCTCCGGACGCCAGAACCTTAAACTACCGTTCTCCGGGTATACCCGAGAAAGATCCTTGTCGATCACATGCTCAATCTCATCGTTTCTGATTGGCAGTGTTGTACACGTCAATGTCCTAGTCATAGGCGTCAGCAGCCACGTCAGAAGCCAGCCTTCCCTCATTTATCATCTTCAATACGGCCATGTTAACTGAAGCACATTGACATATCACCAGTAGACAATAATGTGCCAATTTAATTTGTTGTAACATTTAAGCTAAACATAGGGTACAATTAAGTAAATGCATTTGTAAGTCGGCTTACCTAGAACTCACCTTGAGTTTCTTTCACCGTAACGAACAATGGAAAATGGTGCTTGAGAGAAACCAAACCTTGATAGTTAAAAGTTTGGTTTATGGAAAATGGTGCTTGAAATTCCCTGAAAGAAAGCAAACCTTATCTTGGTTTCGAAGAGATTGCCCGTCCTTGGTTTTGAAAGATATTGGCTGAAGAATAGCTTGGTTTTGAGACTAACACTTTGGGAGATGATGAATCAAAGGCAGTTGAAACAGGTCGAGATAATTTGGATGAACCGCTTCAGAGTTGTATCGAAGCTCCAGAGTTGACAACAAAGTGATGTATAATGTTTCTTTCTGAGGTCTTGGGTTCGATCTTATGCGGCGCCAAAGGAATAATTCCATTTGCCAAAATTATCCAGCTAGCATATTCCTTCCCAGCGGTCAATGCGCTGAAATATAGGGCACCTCGCGCCCTAGGGTTTCCCACACTGTGCCCTTTCTTTCTCTCTTCTGCCTATCGCCGCCTTTCGATCTTCTTCGCAAGGATGCCGCGCAGCCGTGGCGGTGGTATGCGCCGCGCAGTGCGATTCCAGTTCCCAGTTCTAAGCGTTTTCTTTTTTCTTGTCTTGCAGCTCGACCAGCTCCTCGCGCCCCAGCCAGGAGGGCCGCTCCGCCCCCCCAGCCCGGTAAGCGCGTGCTCGAGATTCATTCCTTTTCATCGGCATTTACGGTTTGATTATTCTGCAGTTCATCACGCGCCAGCTCCTCCCCCGGCTCCACTTCAGGCTGGAGGCGGTGGGATGATGGGTGGTTTGGCCGGTACCATCGCCCAGGGTAAGAAATATCTCTCTGAAAATAGGTCACCCTTACCTTTAGAAAAAAGAAAAAGACTCCGTTTTTCTCTTTGATGGTGAACTCTTTTCGCTGAGTTCTAAGGAGATCTCTCTCTCCTTTTTACTTCTAAGATCTAAGAACTGATTGAGATGGTGAACGTAGGTATGGCGTTTGGAACCGGCAGTGCCATCGCGCACCGCGCTGTTGACGGGGTTATGGGACCCCGCACTGTGCAGCATGAGGTTGCTGAATCTGCAGCATCGCCGGCATCGCCGGCGCTTGCTACTGTTTCCGCCGATGCCTGCAGCAATCAGATGAAGGCTTTTCAGGACGTAAGTGAGACTGGACTCTTTTTTTTCTTTCTTTTTGGCTTTTCATGACTGTTTTTTCTCTCTTTTTTTTTAAAAATTTCCAGTGCATCAGCAGCAATGGTAGCGACATTGGTCGTTGCCAGTTCTATGTTGACATGCTGAACGAGTGTCGCAGGGCTCCTTCCTCCTCTTCAGGTATCTGTCTACCCAAAAACGATATTTTCACTTACTGTGCTTGTGTTTTTTTACCAGTGATGCTTTGAGCAACTCCGAACAAGTGATAATTTCATAAGCATTAGCAGCATTTGCTTGTGAACTCTAGATTTCAATCTATGTTGTCCTATGTTATGATCTTTTAAACTTTGAAGAAAGTCCTTGTTGAGCTAAACGACTGATGGTTTCCAGAAATCCATAAAATCCAGGTCTGCGATGCCGCGCAAGCCAGCAGCAATACTTGGGTTCTTCGCTTTGGATCATCGGGCTGGCCTCGATCACCTCCTCTCCTTGTCGACTATAGCCAGCCAAGAAGGCCAGGAGATTCTTGGTGGCTACGGGGATTCCAAGCGAAATCTCGTCGTCATTCCCGATGTAGCCGTGGACCCGCATCTCAACCAGAGTTCCAGCGAGGAAGAGTCACAGCCAAGCTTGGAGTGCAAATCCCTCTCGCCGGGATCTCTAGAGGCCAGAAGCTCCGCAAGCCATGGCAGCCGCAGTGAAAGTGTGGTGATCGGGCGTGGGACAAGCTCCGGTGGTGGTCATCCGTGAGAAGGGCTGTCATTGCCTGGATGTATCATGGGAAAAAGAAGGGACATCCGTCTATGTTTGTGTGCTCATGCCTTACGAAAAGGAGAAAGCTCTTGGAATTTCAGGAAACGTTGCAGCATTTGCCCCGCACGGGCACTTCTTCAGGGCTCTTGCTTTGCCTCGTCGCCGCATTGTTTTAACGGGATGGCATGACATTCTTCTCCACTGGTCTTGAGTTCGTATACACAATGGCGGCCTGCAAGGAAGAGCGTCAAGGGCAGAATTGGTGGGCATGTAGCAAGATGCGTTGCAGCATTTGCCTGGCTTGGGTATTTTTTGTGGCGCCTGCTGGTTCGTCAAGACTCTTGAGCCGGCATCCAGCTCGCCACGGGCACGGGTCTGGAGCATCATCTCCTGAGCGCCTTGCTTCTTCTTGACATGCTGAGCGTGGCGCTGCTCATGCTGCTCTTCCTGCGCGTGCTGTCCAAGGCTTACTGGCAGCGGCAGCTGCTGGCCATGGGAAAGGACGATCATCTTTGGGTGATCGACATACCTGGTCTCTGACGCTTGCGAATGCTTGAAGGAGAAAGTGTGCTAGCTCTGTGGTTCAACAAATGAGCGCTTTTCTAGCATCCATTCTACGGTGGTTACTCTATCGCCTCTCAGCTTGTCAGCTTGTCATAATCGACAACTTGTGGCTCGGGAACGATTGATTTCAAGGGGTAGGAGATAAATCAGTTTATCTTCTCATGGAGCAGAGGAAAACCAGAGCTACAACGGACGTGAAATGCGACGGACAGGTTGATTTGAGTTTAGAGCAGCAGCTCTGGAGGAGAGAAGTGATAAGTGAAAGCAGGGCACTTCAATGGCTTGCCAGAGGCACGGAGGATGTTTATCTGGAGACTTCAGACTTGCCACTCCAAGTCTGGTTATCCGGAGTTGGACAGGGCTTACAGACGAGGAAGGCTCTAGGCTGTGGAAAGCTTGCCAATACTGGACAAGGATAAGGTAGATGCCGCCGGAGTTCACCCACGCGGTCGGATGCTCAGGGACATCCAGCTTCAAAGAATAAGCGTGCAATCCCGATCGCAGTATCAGCTGCAAGGTAAGTTTCGTGGCGATGAAATTTTCACTGCGATCGTCAACACCATATAGAAAGTCTTGTGGCTTGGAAGAGCCAGCTTCAGGTGGTGACCGCCACATGGTTTGTGGATTTAGCTGGTTCACCGAGAATGAAGAAGTGCTCTAAAAACCTGGAACATAGAAAAGCAGCCTCTTGTTTTTCCAGGGCGATGGTGATGATGCCAAACACGACGGTGGCTGCAAGCCATCACTTTTTGGTAACTCTCGCTTTTTCTTTTCCTTTTCTTACCTTGGTTCCTGCTTTCAGGGATGGAGTTGAGCTAGCTCTGTGCTAGCTCTGAGCTAGCTAAAGTGCTTCGCGATTGGTCTACCACAGCTGCAGTTACACTTACACAAGCTTGTGGAAGCTTCAACTGGTTCCTCTCGACGTCCAACACCTGATGCACAGAGAGATTACTACGGTGGTTACTTTGGTGTGCAGCGACATGGAAAGACAAGCACTCAGGAGTTGCTGCTCATGGATCAGGCGATCTACGGCTCACAAAATGAAGGTCAAACGGTTTAAACTAAGAGCTCCAACAGGAACAGCAACGAGGTTGTGCCTCTACAGCGAGTGGAAGTTGCTTCCTTGGAAGGCGAGCAGCTGAGAAAACGACGAGCAGCTTCGAAGAAGCTTGCAACTTCTTCTTCCAAAAGAGCATGGTCTTCATCACAAAGCTGCAGCTCCGACTCTTCTTCTGGAACCCTGGGGCGGCGTCTCTTCGAGATCTTCTTTCAAATGCGGACGAGAAGCTACTTCAACTTCCGAGCAATCAATCGCGGGCAGATAAAAGAAGAGTGGCCAAACCTTGCCTTCCACCACTTGTGCAATAGGTTGTCCTGCCAAGGCTCTCGGAGTCGGGTGCACCGCTTTAAAAGGGAGAAACCCTTGAAGCGAGTCAATGTTTGAGGCGACACTTGAGAGTTTTCGGGGCGTCCGACGTCCAACGTGTGATCTACATCATCCAGCTTTCGAAGTCAGAATGCTCAACTCCAATCCGGATGGTGATGGCTATTTGAGGCAGCATCCACATTCTATCATCTTGGTCTCGGAGTTGTCAAGCAACTCGACTCCAATCCGGATGGAAGATATTTGAGACGCAGCATGGCTGCACCGCAGCATCGAGATTAGTTTGTGATTTGGAGAAGAGAAGTGATAAAGCAGCAATGTCGTTGTGGTTCAACAGAGGCGAGTAAAAGAAGATCTTGGGACGTCAGCATGGAGCGGCTCAACACGAGTTACTAGTTCGTGTTCTTTGGCTACAAGAGATCATATGAAATTTTACTTTTTGTATTGTCACTTCCTTTTCCAGTTTTTCGCAATGGAGCACAATGCTCTCTTCTATGCTATTACGAGGCTTGGCGGACTCTTCCTCTTCTTCTTCTAGTGGACAGCGCCAAGAATCTCCTCGAAGGCAGGAAGCTCCATGGATTTCTGCGCGACACCGGGCAAGACCAAGACACATTTCTTGGGAATCTCCTCGTCCAGGTGCATGGGGGCTGCGGTAGCACGGATGAGGCATACGCTGCCTTCTCCAGGATTTCCAGGCGGAATGTCTTCTTGTGGAACATTTTAATCACAGCATTTGCCCAAGCCGGGCATTTGCAACGAGCGGAGATTTTGTTCCAGAAAATGCCCGAGCGTGATCAGGTCTCCTGGAATGTGATCATCGCCGCTTTTGCTCGGGCCGGCGACATCGATCGGATGCTCAGGCTTTTGAACGCGATGGAGCGACAGGGAATCTATCCAAACAGGCTGACTCGTGGCTCTTCTCGACGCATTTGATAGCAGCGAGATGGATCCATCACGATCTTCTGAGGAATGTAAGCTCCTTCACTCCAAAATCTCGCAGCATGGTTTCCATTTCGATCTC